ACTGCTAAAAAAAAAAAAAAAAAAAAAGGCTATCCATATGCCTAACATACATGGGACTACCAAAGCTATACCTGGTCTGTATAACAGTGATGCACAGAGATATACACAGCTTAGCTCAGATACCAGAAATAACAGTGCCATGTTAGCACGCATTCCAATAAAGTTAGATTTACCCTTCCAAGCAATGCCATATTAAATACTGTTCCACACATTTACATCTAGCTTAGGTATAGTGCCATGTAGATATACCTCCTCTCCATCTCCACCCCCACCCTCCCCATGCTGTTTCTGCCTCCCTCTGAAGTCTAGGGTCCCTGTCCCCTCTTCCCTGGCACTCCCTCCTTCCCACCCACCCCCCTCAAGTCATCTTTGCCCCTGCTATGGCCTGGGGCACGGAGCATGGCTCCAGGCTGCAGCAGGGGGAAGAAGAGATTTGGAGAGTACAAGCAGTAGGTGCCCAAGGCTACAGGGAGCAGATGGTAGGCACCACACCTCCCTCCTACTGCTTGTCCCCCTACCACTGCTTTTCCTGCTGCAGTGGTGGTAGGGATGAATTTAAAAGACAACCCTCCCATAACTAAATTCTATACATGGAAAACCATAACAAGTTTATATGGTGGGGGAGGGGGGAGGTCTTAAAAATCAGAGTGGACTTGGATTTGGGTAAATATAGTACTTATATAGTAGTATGAGAAGAAAAGTTCCACACAGCATTCAATACAACAGAAAAGTGAATAATCCTGAGCATTGGAAGTTGGAATAAACAATGAGAATTCAGTCAATCTTCCGTTCACCCATACTACCACACTCCCAGCTGTGCAGAGATGCTGAATCCAAATGCACCATGCTACTGCTAAGCATGTTAATGCTACTACATTTCAGAGCTTTCTAGTTTCACATCCACCCTGGCAGATATGTTCCTCCTCCTTTTGCCTACTTAGCTTCCAGCCAAGCAATGTAGTAGAGTAGAGTGGGAGTGAAACTAATGAGCTCTGAAGACTGCTTCAAAAGAAGCTCGTTGCTTTCAACTATAGCTATTCCCCTTCACTGAGGGAAGAGGGGGTGGTACAGAACAACAGGAAGAGAAAAGCACCATGGGGTACAGATAGGAAGAGGGGAACAGAAGAAAAGGGAAGAACAGGTGGCAGTGGGTGGGGAAAAAAAAAGTGATCAAGGGAAAATTAAGGAAAAATAGCAAAATAAAGAAAAGTAAAACAAATTTCAGAGGAAAACTGAGATTCTAGATCTGAACCACCCCCACCTCAAATCTCAAATCTCAGTCCTGGAATGGAGCACAAGTGGCATAGCCTTCTATATATTCAGATCAAATTGCAGAAGTCACCTGAAGTTAGTGCAAAAGATAAGAAACAGGTTTAAATATACTCTGTGATCGAAACACAGCTTAGCAAGCAGGACAAGAGTAAAAAGACAGACAGAGGAATCCAAAACGGACTGTTTTGGAAAGAAGTGTCCCTGCATACTTAGCCCCATGCTGGGGCTGTAATTCCCTCCTCCCCTGAACACCTTGCTTAGTGCCAGAGAAGGATTTCCTTGGCGCATCAGTTGCTCAGTACATGGAAGGAATTTTTACTGGGATTTTTCCCAGTGCTTTGCCTAACACTGGGAAAGTGTATCCCTGGACTGCTTGGCTTTGTGAGGAACAGATTTGGCCCACTTGCCTGGCTCTGCTCCAGTGGAGGGGTTCCCCCTGAGCTCTTTGCCCAGTGTTTAGTTTATAACCTAGCTGTTCCCAACTGATACCCACAAGGGTGGGCTGTATCCATTAAAAACCAATGCCTCTGAACAATTAACAAAAACTTTCATCTTTCCTTCAGCCCAAAAAGGGCAAAAAACAGAAGCAGTTCTCATTAACTCACCATTACAAGGATTCAATATCTAAAGAAAGATCGACATACAGCAATCAAAATCATGGAACAGAACATTTTAGTTCCCAGTCACGGTATCATTTGTTTCACTCAGTCTCTATAATTACTTATCTTGAACACTGGAAATTAAAAAAGTGAAATATTTCATTCTCACTATTCAGAAATAACTTATCAATTCTTTTAATCACTACTAGCTGAATGTGTCTGGCATACAGCTTTAGCTGAACTGCTATGATTTAAACACCAGTTAAAGTATAGGTTATCTACATTGGTTTTGCCCTTTACCTGGCATACTTTTCAGTAGCTTTGCATTGCACATATGTCCTTTCCATATGTCAGTGAGAATATATTCCATCCGTTTTGCTCTCCAAAGGAAGTTAAACACCCTCAGGTAGTGGCTCATGCATTCTCGTGTAAACACCTGCAAATAAAAGTCAGTATTTTGGCTTCAAAAACATTTGATTTATTCCCTATTGGCGGTCTCTCTCCTCCTCCACCAAGTCTTCCTATGCTAACCTAGATTACTGCTAGATCCTAAACAAGCTGAGCCCAAACAAAAGCTGAAGACTCCTGAGCTCTTAGATTATATCCTCTATTCAGGGGTAAGATCTAAGACAAGTGTTGTATTGCTTATTGCTTGGCTTCAGCAGTTTAGAGTAAGAGGCTGGTTTACAACTGGGGGGAAAAAAAACCACCAACCCTGTGAGTAATCTGTAAGGCACAATAGCCCTTTATGTATTCAGAATATATTTGTTAAAGTAGCAAAATAGATTATATAGCTACAAGGGCTGCCTTAGATGCATCAACACTGATGCAGTCTGTACACTGCCCAAGATATACTAATAATAGATATACTATATATTAATGCATTAATATCAAATCTGCCTCTCTCTAGAGCTGACATACCTTCTCATTCCCAGACAGCTCCTGTGGATGGGAGCCATCTGGAATGAATAAGGAGCCTCTGCCTTGAAAATAGTTTTCCTAAAATTTATCTCAGCCCATTTAAGACACTTGAATGCTGTTAAGGCTCTCTTGTGACCATTAGAGAAAAATCAACAAGTGTTCTGATCACAACAGATTCCAGTGCTCTTTTCAGATACTTTTTGAAAGAGGCTGAGGTCTGGGGTGTATGTAGGCATTTTTTTTCAATCACTCCACTGAATCAGACAAGATTAAACTGATTGAGTAAACCAGGAAATGGAAACTATCTTTAGAAAAAAGAAAGAGGCATATAGATTTTACCACTGCTTTCTCCTGATGAAAAAAAGAAATCTCTCTCTTTACACAACACTTTAGTGCCGAGTCCCTGAGGGGCCACTAGGGATCACAAATGAGTTTAAGACAGTGAGTTTTCTGGTACATACCTGGCACTACAACAAGGATACTACATTGCATTCACTTTAAGGTGTAGCATGTACAGAGTAAGCATACTGTCCTTTACTTGAGGCACTCCTTGACAGTTGGAAGGCAGTGTACCTATGTCTTATTTTAGGGAGTTCACATTGTCCCATGTTTGAACCTGATAAGCATTGCATTGAGAGCACTGTCTGATAGGCTTGTCTCTAAAACATAACAAAGGCCTGCCCCAGAAGTGGCCATGATGCTCCCTAGTGGCACCTGAGCCTCTGTTCTTGAGGTCCACCTCCCTGTCTGCTTGCCTGCCATGCTTTGGTGTAAATATGTATGCAGCGTTCAAGAGCATTTGTATACTAGTTTAAAAAAAAAAGCAAGCTTTCACTATGAAACTCTTCTGCCCTAACCCTAACTAAAAATCAGTGTAGAGGACGGAGAAGAGTCAAAAAAAAGAAAAAAAGAAAATCAAAACCCAGTTCGCAGAAATGCACAAGCTCCA